CATCACCAACATTGTCATCACCACCACTGCCTACCACCATTACGACCATCATCACAAAATCATTACACCACAGTCTCGTCACTACCAATGCCACCATCACCACTAATAGCATCATCACCATCATCACCATCATCATCACCACCATCACAAGCATCATCACCACCATCACAAGCATCATCACCACCATCACAAGCATCATCACCATCATCACCACCATCACAAGCATCATCACAAGCATCATCACCATCATCACAAGCATCATCACCATCATCACAAGCATCATCACCATCATCACCATCATCACAAGCATCATCACCATCATCATCACGATCATCACCAGCATCATCACAAGCATCATCACCACCAGTATGATCTCTATCTCAAGCGTCACAAGAACCCCACTGTCTTCCTTGAAATGGTGACGTCAAATGTTGAAATAGCTGGCGTCACCACGCCCGTGACAAATGCATCTAAATTTATCCACATTCCACACCCTCTTGTCAATTAATCATACGTCTAGCAGTAGCTCCCCCAATTACCTCCCCTTTAGTTAAGGACTAATATATGTAATTTAACAGGATTCGCTTACATTTTATCAAGGAAAATACTTATGTTATGAATGAATTCGTTTTTTTACATTCAAAATACAAAAAAAGATTCCAGTATTAAGACCACTATGTTTACTTTACTGTACATACAATATACAACACCAACTGCGATTTTTCCACAAGCAGGCAGCGATGACACTGCAGTGCACGTGCCAGGGTAGGTGTACCTCAATGTATATTACTCTATACAGTGTACGGTCACATGTACAGCCACAACCAGCTTACGAACAAAAAAAAATCATCCCAGTGGTCAGTTTAGATGTCTACGTTTTTGATATTTCTTAAAACAAGAAGTGTTTTGCCAAAGCAATTTCCCAAGTTGACACAGGCACGCACAAAGTATAACGTTATGCACAATCCACCACACGTCTCCCTCCGACCAGTTATCAAAACAGGGTCCTCGTTTGATATTTATTCTCAGGAGTGTTGTGGATTTTTCAGGCGGTGTTTTCTGCACTGTTTTCCTTGCACGGCAGAATTTTACTCTTTGGCTTCATCATTGGGTTCCCCTGTACGATGAACCCCAGGGGGGGAGGGAGGGCGGTGAGTGAACCACAGAACCACAATTTATTCCATTCTGGTACCCCCAATTTCATCCGAGTTCCGTAAGCTGCGTAACTAAATTCAACGAATCGTGCAAGCCCTAATAAATGTTGCAGTGCTATAATAAAGGACGAGCTGATGGCAAGGGCTTCCTTGGGTCTCCCGTACCAACCCTGAAGCAGTTGTTAGGCCCCAGAATGTATCGTCTCTGGAGGGATTGTTAGAGGCTAATTTCGCCATTTATGGCCCCTTATTACATGAGAGACGTGAAAACAAATGTAATTAACCGCGTGATCCCATTTAATTGTGGATCAGCGATGTAGTGTGATAAGGCCTTCATATAGCAGAGGATACACAACTGCTAATGATGGCTTTTGAATAGTGCGTTTTGTTTTCTGATGTACTTGTTAAACCCAGGTCTCTGTTGAAAAAAACAGACTCCTGATCTCACTGGGCTCATAAAACATTGATATATAATCAACAACCCGTTGGCATCTTCTTGGTTCTTTCGGTAAAGTCACGTGACTTTACCGAAAGAACCAAGAAGATGAATCCCTGCAGTCACGAAAGCTTTAAATCGAAATTTAACCCGTTGGCAATCAACTGCTGGATGAAGGCCTCCCCACACACACCACGCTAGTCCTGGGGGTTGTTTGACCATACTTCAACACGCCGTTAAGTGCGGAATCGAATTCAGACTCCAGGTTCCGAGTGCAAAGAAATACAAATCGTCACCTGTCGATCTTTAAAAATCATAACGACGACTGCAGTAATTCGTGATGCTTGTAATCACGACAAAGATGATGGTGGTGACGATGCTGCACATGTCAGCTGGCATTGTGTCTTGTGATTATCACGAGGCTACAAAGGGCATGGCAAAGGGATTTTTTTTGTCATCCATAGTACCGTGTAGTAAAAGCCTACAGAGTTCCCATCATGCAGTCAGTATAGGATCCGATAACTGTCAACAGAGACAAAACAACTCCATTTAGCATGTCAGTGTATGTCTGGATGGACCTAATGTTGTTCGTCACGGCTGCGTCACAGACACCGAGACAGCACTGCTGAGAATCTGAATTCCAGACATGGGGTCTAGATGTCTCTCTTTCTCAAGAGGTTAATGATGGGCTGTGTCGGAAACAGCTTGCCCATTGATCTTATCCATGGTTGGGAATCGAACTCAGGTAACCACTGCTACCCCACAATGGTATCAACACACACCCACATTCCTATCAGCTGTCCTTAGGCAGGCCATTAAATTACACAATCTTATTCCAGGCCCCAGGCTGTCAATAAAAACAAAAGCCAGTGATTTACCTTCCACTGAGCAGGCAAAATACCAAGTTTTTTTTTAAAATCTTATCTCACACAGTGCCAATAATCGCACTGAAGATGGACCACTTTCTGCAACGTTGGCATATTGTATCATCATCAGCAACCAAGACCTCCCCAAGCCGTCACTACCTATCACGGGCCTCGCAATGCAACAATTGACCCAGCGCTGTAACTGCACATGGCCTGCTTTCACTGCTCCATCCTAAAGTCTATCCATCGTTGGTTGCCATTCTGCCTTAGCCATCCAACAATCATTCTTTCGAGGTCAAGATGTTCCCTGTCCAAGCCCACGAATTGTTTTTTTGTTAATTAACCATCGATATGATGTCTGTAAACCTGCATATTTTCTCCGATCCACGTGTTCCTCATCCTGTGTCTCGGTGTAATTCCAAGCAGGAACATCCCCAGCTTTGTTTGTGCACTTTTTTATTGTTGCTCCATTTTTTTGTGCCACTTCCCATACTCACGATCAATGTTTGTATCATACCAGGTGATTAAACACGAAGTATAATGATAATGCGTGGACTGAATGACATTCCCATGTACGAATGGGTGTGTCGTTGTACAATACAGTACCGCATTGTGTCCATGTGTTAATCGTTTGCCTCCAAGTTACGGAAACAAGCATGTAAACAAAAATAAGATTGATTTAACACATTATTTTGATTATAAAGCTTTATTATATTTTTTTATATAACACTTTAATTTCTTGTTTGGCCTTTTCTCTGCCTTCATAACCCTGGTCTTCGTTGAAACGGGTCGTGTAATCGAGTCTCAATGGACTATCAGCTGGTTCGATTTAAAGAACCCGACCCTGTGTGATCGAGAATACACATAAGGCCAACACGTGGCGGAGATCGGTTGCACACCTGTGCACATCTGTGTATCGCTGCGTGTGCACAAGAGGGTACCCGACTATACATCGCTGATTTTGTTTAACCAGGTAAGAATTCAAGAGGCCAGGATGATCTAATTTGCAATGGTGAGCCGAGGGTCACCAATATGGTCACAACAATAACTGTGTCACACGAGAAACACATGGGCCCGTGTACATTTCACGTGTATACATCATACCTGTGAAACCCTTGTCAATGCCTTCCTTATTACAGACCGATTCAGACCTTATTGGTCACCCCGTGCCCCTTATACATCTCAAAGTTCATCCTATAAAGTCCCACCACAAGAGAGAAACACACACAAGTAGACCAAAACAAGTTTTGCTCAATCTCTGTACAAGAATACGGGTCAACCGTATGGGTTGACAGGTATGATACACACACACACGTGTACACAGATGTAGTAGTGGAACACACATCACCTATCATCCGCACCTCCGATTAGCTACGTACGGTGCGAAAGAGGTTCAACATACATCCATACACAGTCATGTTTGTAGAGTTGGGGTGGACACGAGAGAGTGGACATACATCACAATGCATAAACACACCCACACAGGAATGTGTCTATAGGATCGGGGTCTTCACAGCCCAATGACCACACTCTGTGTATGTACTTGCCACGGGGTTTAAGGGTACGGTACAGCACAAACTCACTCAAGAGGACTGTCAATATGAATATCCGGTCCAGGATACGGAGACTGCTGGGGCAAGTGCTGTTAGCGAGCACCTATGAATGCCGGCACGGCACACGAGGGGGTGGGTGGCCAGCACCACGCCCGGCCGCCTTTGTCTCCCCAGTGGTGGTCAAACCGCGTATAGCCTCCTGTCGTCCCCTCTCGTGCGAGGTGTCACCCTCATTGCGATGTTCCACATCCATCGTACCGGGTACACACATTTAAGGCTGAGTCGGCCTAGGGGGAGGAGGCCCCATCTCGGGTTCGTAGCGCAGTGCTATGGATCTAACCCACTGCGCCACCACTCCCCATACAAACCCGTGTACACACACACAACACACACAACACAATACCACACACACACAACACAATACCCACACACACAACACACCACACAACACAATACCCACACACACAACACAATACCCACACACACAACACAATACCACACACAACACAACACACCACACAACACAATACCCACACACACAAACACAACATAACACCACACAAACACAACATAACACCACACACACACAACATAACACCACACACACACAACATAACACCACACACACAACACAATACCCCCACACACACAACACAATACCCACACACAACACAACAACACACACACAACACAATACCCACACACACAAACACCACACACACACAACATAACACCACACACACAACACAATACCCCCACACACACAACACAATACCCACACACACACAAAATAACACCACACACACAACACAATACCCACACACACACACAACACAATACCCACACACAACACAACAACACACACACAACACAACAACACACACACAACACAACACACACACAACACAACACCACACACACAACACAACAACACACACACACAACACACGCGTGTTTTGTGTGTGTGCATGGGGGGGGGGGGGTTACTCACACGGCATCCGTGTACTGAGTCCCACCGATGAATCCGAAGCGATCAGTCTTCCTCGTCCCATTGGGCGCGTTCACCTCCGAGTCGGATCCGACGGAACTCCGATCGTCATCATCGTCTGCACAGTCCTCGTCATCACCACGGCCAGCACCACCACCAGCACCACCACCGTAGACCCCGTGGGCAGAGCCGGTCAGGCTGCCCGCAGACGCAGAGGTAGCCCTGTCCTGGTTCGATCCCAGACCCAAGATTATCGATCCGTCACCCTTGCCACTGCCACCACCGTCCTCCGTGTTGACATTGTCCATGTTGAAGCCCGGGGTCAATCACACGTGCGCGCAGCGTGGAACGCGCATCTGATGAGACGGATGATGATGATGGTTCGCTGGCTTACCACGCACACACACTGGGTATGTGACCATGTGTGTTTGTGTGGGTGTGGGTGGCTGGGCCACGTCTCACAGCCTGCTGTTCCTGCTGTTCCTGCTGCTATGGACGTGTCCGCTGGACCCGGTCACGTTGTGTGCGCGTGTCGATGTGGGTTGGGTGCTTAGCTATTGTCGTGATGACACCACACGAATGGTGTGTCGTGATGTAACCCGGTGCTTGGTGTGTGTGTGTTGTGCGTCTCTCTTGAGTGTTAGCCGTCTCAACGTGGCGTGAACAGCTACCTCCCACCCCGTCTTCGTCTTCTTCTTCTTTAGCGGACGTGTAACACCACCACCACCATGGCCCTTCGCGTTACGTCCGGATGACCGAGCCGCCCGTGTCTTTGCGCACGCGTGTGTGTATATGTGTGTGTGTATGTGTGTGAGTGTACACGTTAATGAATGACACCGCAACACTGCCGGTGGTATATGCGAGTCGTCGTGTGCTCTGTGTGTGTAGTGTGTGGCAGCCACCATCGGCCCCGACCGGCTCCGCTTTGCCTCTCGCTGACTGCGGAGTGAGCATCCGACAGCGACTGCTGATGGTAAGAGGGGGGCGCTGTGTAAAGTGGGAGTGTGTGCCTGTGTGTGTGTGCCTGCGTGTGTGTGTGTGTGTGCCTGCGTGTGTGCGTGCGTGTGTGCCTGTGTGTGTGTGTCCCTGCGTGTGCGTGTGCCTGTGTGTGTGTGCCTGCCTGTGTGTGCGTGCGTGTGTGTGTGTCTGTGCCTGCGTGTGTGCCTGCGTGTGTGCCTGTGTGTGTGTGTGTGTCTGTGTGTGTGTGTGTGCCTGTGTGTGCCTGTGTGCGTGTGTGTGTGTCTGTGTGAGTGTGCCTGTGTGTGTGTCTGTGCCCGCGTGTGTGTGTCTGCGTGTGTGTGTGCCTGCGTGTGTGTGTCTGCGTGTGCCTGTGTGTGTTTGTGCCTTTGTGTATCTGTGTGTGTGTGTGCCTGTGTGTGTGTGTGCCTGTGTGTGTGTGTGTGCCTGCGTGTGTGCCTGCGTGTGTGTGTGCCTGCGTGTGTGCCTGCGTGTGTGTGTGTGCCTGCGTGTGTGCCTGCGTGTGTGTGTGCCTGTGTGTGTGCCTGTGTGTGTGTCTGTGCCTGTGTGTGTGTGTGTGCCTGTGTGTGTGTGTGCCTGCGTGTGTGTGTGTGTGTGCCTGTGTGTGTGTGTGTGCCTGTGTGTGTGTCTGTGCCTGTGTGTGTGTGTGTGCCTGCGTGTGTGCCTGCGTGTGTGTGTGTGTGCCTGTGTGTGTGTCTGTGCCTGTGTGTGTGTGTGCCTGCGTGTGTGTGTGGGGAGCGGTGGCGCAGTGGTTAGCGCTACGCTGCGCTACGAAACTGGTCACCCGAGTTCGATTCCCGCTCACGGCCAACACCGGTGACGATTATCTGAACCGGTCATGGGCCTCTCCTAGGTCGACTCGGCCTTAAATAAGTACCTGGCGCGGTGTGTAAAAACATCGCCACTGGGAAGACAAAGGCGGCCGGGCGTGGTGCTGGCTACCCATCCCCTCGTGTGCCGTGCCGGCACCTTCATAGGTGCCACTCGCTAACAGCAGTTGCCCCTACAGTCTGTTAAGGCTACACAGGAGGGGATCTTCGTCTTTGTTGTGTGTGGGTGGAGCACGGCACGGGCTGGAGAAGATATGGAGCTGATGCGGTACGGGAGGATGTGGAGCTGAGTGGACTTGCCGATGACCGGTACCAGCGGTGTCAAGATCGGCCTCTGTGGAGGAGGAGGAGGCTCGTGAAGGACGCTGCTGCTGCTGCTGGAGGGCAGATGAGCGACGCTCACAACAATGAGCGGAGCGCCGGGCGGATAAAATGCAGCAAGTTGGCATAGTCGGGGGTACAGCTGGTGGTGCATCTACCTGTCATCTCAGTCGGCCAACTCGTGGCACCTGCTGGGTCTGTCCCGAGACCTCCTCCTGCCAGCAGAAGCGAGCCTTCGACACTTCACGTGATAGCCTCAAAGTGCACCTAGCCTGGCACAGGCGCCGTGGTGACGCCACTTAGTGGCGAATGGTGCTACGAACCTGGGACATCCGAGTTCGATTCCGGCTCACGTTAAATCTGAACCGGTCCTGGGCCTCCCCCTAGGCTGACTCAGCCTCAAATGAGTAACCTGGTGCGTTGTGAATTCGTGGCGATGATTTTACGCACCGCATTGGGGAGACAAAGGCGGCCGGGCGTGGTGCTGGCCATTCACCCCCTCGCCTGCTTTTATAGGTGTTCGCTAACAGCACTTGCCCCAACAGTCTGTTAAGGCTTTTTCTGTGGCGCTATACTCTTATTGTGTTAAATGTTATTTTCCTGTCCTGTGTTTTCTTATCAATTTTTTTAATTAAAACGTCTCCGTGTGTGTTGGTTTCAATTTGCGTCGCTCATTGACGTGGAGTTCACCGCCCGGACTGGTTTAGCAAGTAAATTATTATCACAACATACACACACACACACACCCATCATTGTAACACACACGGTAGACACGTTCTGGGGCGTGTTTATACAGAGCATCGTGTGGATTCTTGCAGTACTCAGAGTTCCTAGTGTACAGTATAACCATACGTAACGTACACAACAACTACACACACACATAATCGTCAATAACACTGCTTTATTAAGGGGGGGGGGGGGGGGGTATTAAGCGACGTTTCCGGCAATAGTACTTGTATACGCAGTCCTTGGTTATTGTTATTTGCGCTAATTCATCACCTCCAAAGCTGTATCGCAATTTTTTGGGCAGGGGGAATGAATTGTGCGAACATACGTTAACTCATCATGCCTTGCCGTGGAGCGTGATGAATAACAGCATATCAAAGCATTACTCTGTTATGTATCCACATTAACATAAACATGCGTTCCAGTCCATCAGAAATTGGCTTAAACAAATGCGCGCTGGCATTATATTGATCTGGAAAGCCAATGATAATAGGCTGATAGCCTTACAAAGATTTTGTGTTTAGATGTGGAAACAAAACATTGTTCTGCTCATACTGAGATTAACATTTGCTGATTTAGTGTTTGTGTTTCATTTCCACAATATCCAATATCCAAACACGTCTGGGACATCTCAGGATGCATTAGAAATGGGTTTACACGGACGAAAATAAATTTTATTTAAAAAAATAGATATCACTTTAAAGCTCCAAACTTTCCACGTCATGGGTTCGTGCCTGAGGCTCATAGAGCCAAGCGAGGCATACAACACAGTACTGTACAAACCACGTAAAAAAACCTACCTAAATGTATTAAAAGAGCGTTTTTTATAGATAATATATTTAAATTCCACATCTATACAAAGGGGGGTCTTCATACAGCAGTAGATAACTGCGTGGCTGCTGATGCGACGCTGCAGGTAAATTGGCTTTGTATATAAGCAGGTAAATGCGTGTTATTTAAATTCAACAGCTCATTGAGATCGCAAACATTTTTGAAGGGTAACCGTGAAAAGAAATAAACCCTTACAAATTAAAATACTAAATACGTATCGCAAAAACAATACGCATGATGCACCCGCCATAGCTATCAGCCTTATCGCACTATACGGTATTATTATTGATAATAACAATTGGGATTGTACGAACATAATTTTGTTTCCAAGAGCATGATGGAATTGGAGTGAACACGGTAAGGTAGGGGCCTCCAAGACAAATTTCACAATCAGAATATTTATTTAGGCTGGAGGAATCCGATGACCTACAAAGCTCTTGTTAACAGATATCCAGTCGGGGCAGGTAAGAACGTCACAACAACAACAAACAATACAAACACACGATAAGAGTGCAAAGTACAAGAAAGGTAAACGAATCACCCATAATCATAAAAAAATAAACCATTCCCATCCTACCAGGCAAAGCCCACTGAGGTGTTAACTTATTTTTTAAGTGGCTCGTCCTAATTTGGGGTAAATTCAAGGACTCACCCCGCCTGGGGTTGGTACAGATGACCCAATCGAAGCCCTTACCATCGCTTTCCATTATCCCCCTCCTGCCTTGTCCCACCCAAACAGGCCCCTACCGTGCTGCAACCAGACCGACCCAGCAAGCAAGGTCGTGAAAGCTGAAGCTGAGGAGTGTGAGCGCCACCCAGGGGTCGCGCAAGACTCCTGCCTCACGGTGATCGCAGTTTTTTAACAACACACAAACGGTGTAAAAACATTCTAGATTTGAAGCTTTCGTGACTGCAAGGATTCATATTCTTAGGTTTTTTCGGTAAAGTCACGTAGGTAAAACATTAAAATTAATAAAAGTAAAATAAAATAAAAATCACGACGTTTCGGAGGCAACACAAGCTTCTGTCTTCAGGTGGAACCGTCACAGCCACGACAGCTGTATCAAGTAAATGAGAGATTTCAGGAGCTACCACTCCGTTTATAAAAACACACACACATCCTCTCTGTGCACATGCCAAAAAAAACCATCAGCATTTCCTGAAGAAGTGCATTGTTGGTCCCCTTGTCATAGGTCACCATGAGAGTACGTTTGAGTAAATGTACCGGCAAAACAGTGATGCAGTGATGGACAACTGTGGACCCCTTTTATCCTTTAGGACTCATCAGCAAAGTGTGGTTGCCATTGCTCACGCCTGCAAAGTCTGCCTCTGGAAAATTTTAATGTGGAGTTCCCACTCCCACACTCTGGGGGCCCATTAGCTTGACTAATGCCAACGATAAACACATCTGTAAATGCTAAGAAAAGATAAACCTGCTGGATTTGTGAGATTCCTAACCCTATAAGTGTGTCCGTGAACCCAACCTTCGTGGACCTTTTAGTGTAATGGTACGCTTAAATAGTTCTCTGGGCACTCCAGTTTCCTCCCACGTACAAAATACATGCCTCGAAAACGAATTGGCCAAGCATTCCAATGCAGAACTCTCCTGACAAAGATTGATGAGACGCAGTAACACTTATCGAGATAAATAATTGACATTGTTATTCTTATTACAAGTTTGGTAAAAAAAAAAGTATTTATATTAGCGAAGTTGACGCAAAATGTGTCTGGGTTTTGACATTATGTGCATCAGTCTGTGGAGGCACGATGGCAAGTGAGTGGAATGTAAAATCAGATAAACGTTGAAGCCGAAGGCAATAAGATTTGTAGAGTTAGAGTTTTGGCATATTAAAAAAAACATCACCCCCTCTTTGCCATGACAGTTTTATTCTTGCATTTGGTTCTCGCAAAGAATTACAACTTTGCCAATGCAGCCCCATATATATTTTTGCTGTTGTGGAATTGCGAGCTTACCCACATATATAGTCAATGTTTTGGCCAAAAACCTGAAGAGTAGAATTTAAATATATTAAAGCTTCAACAATGTTAACTAAACACCAACGTGCCAGAGCATTAATACATTTTTAGTTTTATGTAATCTGAATAATGTATTTACATGAATACAGGATATGTTCCTCAACTTAATTCAGCTGCTGTAGATATCCATGTTTCTAAATGTTAAAGAGAATTGCTGGAGCTTGCAATACTAAAAATTCAAAGTATTTGTGTTATCATAGCCCTTTGTGAGTTCACTGCTGAGGGCCTCTCCATGCCATGGCAATCATGAGGGGTTGTTTGCCCATATTT